GGGGTGAGTTTTTAAAATGCTATTTTTTGGACGAGCTTCTACGTCCCCGTGTGGGAGCCCCCCGCCCCCGCCCCCGGCCTCTCCTGGGATTGTGTCCCAGCCAAGGATTACGTGACGTAGGCAAAAACAAAGGGACGCGAAGGGCAAAGCTTGACATGCTACTGAAGATGGTGGTGTTATCTTTACTTTTGCTGTTATTGGCAGTTGATTCTGCTTCGTCGGCAAAGATAGCCGGTTTTGTAGCAATTGGAGGGTCTGGATACATCAACATGAGACATATCATGGAAGAACTGGCCTCTCGCGGACACGAGGTACACTAGCAATATACATGCAGAATATATACATCAAACTCTCTAAGTAAGCTGACACCTTGAACTATATTTAAAGGACGCGAACCTCAGAAAAAACCTTATTTTCTGTTAAACAACACCTAACGAGAGTCTTGTGGCCTCGTGAGAGCTCGTGGATAAATTGCTGATCTTTCAACTAGCTAGCATATATGTCGAAATCAAATCACAAATGCCCTCGAAGTTTAACTTGATTAGGCAGAGACGCGCGCTTGGAGGTGGAGGTTAAATTTTGCGAACTTTGTAATCAAAACGTGCTTTTAAATCATGAAAAATTTTCCAAAACTTTTATAATTTTCGAAAATTTTGTTGTCGTGACTGACCCATCGCGAGGGCAACTCATTAAATATTCTAGAGATAAAACTTGATTTTTGAATTTATTATTAAAAAGTGACGGATTTCTTATTGTAAACTCGATATTGCCCAGTTTTTTTTGCTAATCAGCTTTTTCAGCACAGATCTTTCACTGCACAAAAATAATGAAACACCCAGCCCAAATGATGCTTCTGCTAAAAATGATTAGTCATAGTGATTAAGGCCCATTGTGCTGGGGCGGCCGTGCCATTCAGTGTAAAGGGAGGACTGCGGACTGCGGACTGTGGACCACGGATTGCTGACTGGGTGTAACACGACATCTAGATTTTGGCAGTATTTCGGGCTTAAGGGGAATTTTAAAACGGGATAAAAGGATTGGAAGTGAATGTTAGGGACTGAGGGAAAATTTTAGAGAACTGAGGAAAACTTTCGTCAAGCAGTTATCTACTGAGAGACATGTTCAGTCTGAACCTTTTTATAGCGATGTTTTTCGAAGATGCTGATGCCATTTTGCACCTGCTGTTAGTATAAGCATTGGACATTTTGAGGTTGCACGGAAGACTTGGGGGGAGGGTGGCAAACAAGTTGTATTATGGGAGATGAGCAAATGATGAATACAAGTATTCTGTCAGGTCAGGAGTGGTCATGTGCGCTAATGCAAATGATAATCAGGCGGTATTCAGTGTTAGTCACTACCGTGTGTATAATATAGGTATACCTACTATATAGTTTTTTGAGTTTAACCCATTCGCTCCTGGAGATTTTGCCAAAAAACGCGTTTTAAAGCTAGTCGAGTGGTTTTCTGGTCAGTGTCGTGCTATAAAGAGCTAAAACTTACCACAAACTGGTTTACAGGTCGTACACTTCATGGCCTTCTGATCCAGATGCAAAATATCAGCTTGCGAAGTTCGGGCATGCGCAGAAAGCAAAATTTCGACAGTTTTTGGGTTTAAAAGTTACACAGCAGTCTTGGCTTTTACTTTTCGCTTTCTCTCCTCCCCTCTTTTTTCGCTTTTTTGCCTCATTTTTTTTTCTCTTGCTGGGCATTTAGTAGGCTTCATTTTGGTGGGAATAGTTTTTAGGAAAGCTTTTAGAATCTTAGGATTAGGTGAAAGGAAAGGTAGGTGGGCAATGGAACAAGATTTTCATGGAGATTTTCAGGTCAATGTTACATGGTTTTTTTGCCTCTTTCTCCGGTGTCCTTGACTGAATTGTGCTCATTCTGGTATGGTTTGAAAGATCTCTTCACTCTGCACAAGTTAGCGGACAAAGTTGTCCTTAACCGTTAAAACTGATGACGTCACAAAGGGTAGAAAGGACGTGGATCCGCGAATGAGTTAAAAACTGCGATCCAAAGAGTGTTTTTTAGCCAGCAATTTGGCGTTAGCAATTTGGCGCCTTCCCTTCAGTGGGAAGGCTGATTTAGCAACAAAACGGGAACGTCAGTTGACGACGGCGCGCGCAAATTAAACAACTGGCTTGACCAATAGCAGAGCGGCAAATTGGGCACCGGAAGTCGTGTTTAGTCCTTTCCGCTCGCTTTCCCGTCGTCAACTGACGTTCCCGTCCGGTTGGTAAATCAGCCTATTGTACCCAATCTCGTGTCCAAAGCCCAAAGGACCTGCTTGGTCACGCGCTACTTATCGGAACGTTCTAGATGCTGTGGGAAGGAGATTGTATTTAACTTGTTTTGTTTTGCTGTATTATCTATATCCTAGGTCGCGCTCGTTGCTCCATCCTCCCGTAAACTGAAACCAACTGATAGATTGCCGCTCAAGAGCCACAAGATTTACCAAGTACCATACAAACCTGGCTTCGAAGAGGAGATGATTCGGCTCGATTTAGAGGGACGCACTTTTCAGTTCTTTCTGAAAATGAATGAAGTATTATCTACGTTATGCGAAAGCGTCTTAAACAGCACGGAGATCTTCAAGGAACTAGAGGGTTTCGACTTGATTATTTATGACAGCATCAGCAATGGTGGTGTATTGATCGGAGAGAAGTTAGATATTCCAAGGGTGGAGATACTGCCCGCACCACCAAATGTCCCATTTGTGTTCGCCCATATGATTCCGATGCCGGTGTCGTATGTTCCCCAGCTTATTACCGGGTTTTCTGACGAGATGACATTTTTGGAAAGAGTACTCAATTTAGGAGCATATTTGGTCATTAAACTCGCTTTTAGTTTCGTCAGCTACAGAAAAATGGACGCTTTAAAGGTTAAATACAACATTAAACCTGAAAGAAGCTTCCAGGAGGCTCTCGCGGATGCCGAAATGGTTATTATCGGAGCAGATTTTGCCGTGGAATATCCACAACCTCTTCTGCCAGGTATGACAGCTTATGCAAAAAGCCTAAGGGAACTTCATCGTTAACCTAAGTCCAGGAGACAGCGCTAAATGTTGTTCAAGTGCTCTTCTGGAAAATTTTTTCCCCAAAATTAATGGGTACTAGAATGTCGCTTTCTGGGCGCGGCTTAAACTCGTTTTAACGCCTTAAAGAAATTTTTGAGGAACATAGTTTTCGCCAGTTTTTGGCTTAATTCCCTAAACAGCCTGCTTAGCAGGCGCGATTCTCGTTCTTCTGACCAAAAGGATCGCGACCTCTGGGACAAGAACTGCCGAACCGGGTGAAAGAGAAATTCAGGAGGCTCGCCCCATATTTCTTATGCCCAACGACAGATCGAAGGGCAGAAAACTGAGCTAGGAGAAATTACATAAATTTCCTCGCTTGTGATATTACAGCGCATAACGAATGCAGTAATAAAGAAATGAAGTCGATAACGGAAACGGCTGAGGAATGATATTGTCAAAGAATCAGTTCATCAATAAAGTCTATGGGTTGTAATACGCTTAATCCGATATGACTGTATTAATACTAAACTGATGATTATGGACTGGTCTTTTTTGTTAGGTCAAGTCATGGTTGGGGCTCTGAATGTCAAAACAGCTAAGCCTCTTCCCCCAGAGTTGGAGAAATTTGTAAGTGCCTCAGGAGAGAATGGCTTCATTATCGTTTCCTTTGGAACCAACGTGGCTTCTCTTCCCAAAGCGGAGGTGGATATGCTCGCTGAAGCATTTGGAAAGTTGAAACAAAGAGTTGTTTGGAGAGTCAAAGGTAATCATGGAGTGTACAGGACTAGTTTGCAACTCCTACATGGCCGCTCTCTTTTGGGAGACCAACATAGAGAACGGGACGCCATGTGACATGGCTCTATACTGTTGATTAGCGTTGATTTTAATATCCGTACTTTTCTTTTCATCATTTACGGGGTCAAAAATTTGGCGCAATATTCCTTCTCTCGTCTTTTGTTCATACCAGCATTTCCCTTGCGTCCGCCGACTTTCGCTTTGTTCATTCCAATCCAAGGATTGTTTTTATTCCTCGATTAGCTCCATTACATCTTTTGACTCTAATTCGAGTGTTTTTCACTTGCTCCTGGGCTTGGATTTGAAGTCGCCTGCACAATGACGGGATTCATTGCTCTTCTTGCTGTTTTTTTTTTTTTGAACGGGCCTCACGTTTCTAGATTAAAGTAACCTGAATTTCCTTAAACATTCGCCACATAAGAAACGAGAAAAAAAATGGGCCGAATTTACTTTCGCAAAGACTTCTGGAACTGTTTTAGGGAGCGGGCAAAAATATTGGCCAATAGCTGACTGGCGCGTCCCCAGTGACAATCCCAGAAACAATTGCGGGACGCATCGCGGCTCCAGTTCCCCTCTCGTTTCTAAGTTCGTGAATTTTAACATACAAATGAATCCATCTGTCTTTTTTGTCCTTTTAGATTTAAATCCAATGCAATGCACATCTCCACTCTGTTAAAAGATCGCCAACGCACTCCTCTTCAAGAAACTGCTGACTGGATAGAGTATGTACTCAGACATGGTGGAGCTCGTCATCTCAGGGCTCAAGTGTTTAACATCCCTTGGTATCAGTACTACCTACTTGATGTTATAGCTTCCCTTGTTGCTATGATAACCTTGGTTGTCATGGTGATAAGGTTGACATGCAGCCTCATATATCGTTTGTGCTGTAAGAAGGACAGCGACAAGGCCAAGAAGGAACGATAGTCCTAAGAAATCCTACTGTCTTTCTCGCCGGCAACAGTACTAAATAGTCTGTTCTCGTTAATTTCTTCTTGGTTTTCTTTAACACACTCGCGCCAGGAAGAGGCGACAACAGGTCGGGCTCGAATTCATTAAGATCCATAGAAGTGAAAAGGACGTTCCCCTAGAGGACTTCTTTTAATCTGAGGCGAGATACTGTAGATGCCATAAAGGGAACATTCTCCTTGGGTTAACTAAACCGAGGCCAGCAGGAAAATAGAGGATTATTTTGGAGAGAGGCTCCACTTTGCAGAACGATCTCTTATTTCAGATTTATATTCTTTCCTTAGGGGTATACTGCCCGGGGGAGCACTTGGGTATTTTTTGGGTGGGTATGTGCCGCCCGGGACTCCAAATTGGCACCCCGTTCTAAAAAGAATTCCCCTAAAATTGATACCCCTTTCAAGAAATGGGCCAGTTTTTTATACCCCGTTCTAGAATTCGCCCTAAAACTGATACCCCGTTCTAGAAATGGGCCAATTTTTTATACTCCGTTCTAGGGTGCAACAAGAGTACAACAGTCTGCTTGTTAACGCACGGAACCGTCCAAGCAATCTGACCTTGAATAATTTCAAATAGCTGCTTACAAAACTGGAGCTTTCGTGCGTTCGAAATATTATACCCCGTTCTAGAAAACGCCTATGAAATGGATACCCCGTTCTAAATCAGGAGCTTCAAAATCACGACCCCGTTGGGCGGCACATACTCGTATAGGTAATGTATGGGAGTACCCCCCCCCCGGGGGTATACTGTAAGGTGTTAATTGGGGAGGACTGTGTCACCGGCATCCTGGCCGAACCCTTGTGAACTCAATACAATGCCCTGTTCAGATTCAATAAGGAAACCTATTTGTTCTAGAGTGACTCTAAAGGCTAGACCAAAAAAAATCCCAGTAAAATATTCCAGAGTCCAGAGTAACTATATCCGGCTTTACCTATAGGAGGCGATAACTCGATTCGTGACGTCTTTCTCGCTCAGCTCTTGAAGAATGTCACGTACGCGGTTAGAGCCTACGTGTCGGAGAAAACGTTTTCCCAATGCTTTTCGGTGGAAAAAGAACGTCTACCTTAATAGTCTATGAAAGAATCCGCCGAGCAGGTTAATTTTTCTAGCCATATATAGTGTATAAAAACTGAAGAGGATGGCGGCCAATATCGTCCTAAACTTTGAGATGAGGCAGTTGTATATCGTCCTTTTCAAGGAATTTTTTGATTCCTAGTGACAGGTTATTGTAACAAAGCGAAACAATGGGAAAATATGATAAACAATTATGTGATATTGTTTTCTGCGACCAATAAAGAAACACCTTACGAGCAGCTGCTACATTACTGGTAACAAATCAAATCCAATCGTAGCAGTATGGTTTGAGAGCGTGGGGATTGCAGGCTAGCATGGCTAACGTCTTTATATAAAACTGAAAAGAAAAAAAAACATCATACTGTAGTGGAGTATGGTCTCCTTGTTAAAGAAAGCCTAAATCACGTCCAAAACGGGGTGAGTTTTTAAAATGCTATTTTTTGGACGAGCTTCTACGTCCCCGTGTGGGAGCCCCCCGCCCCCGCCCCCGGCCTCTCCTGGGATTGTGTCCCAGCCAAGGATTACGTGACGTAGGCAAAAACAAAGGGACGCGAAGGGCAAAGCTTGACATGCTACTGAAGATGGTGGTGTTATCTTTACTTTTGCTGTTATTGGCAGTTGATTCTGCTTCGTCGGCAAAGATAGCCGGTTTTGTAGCAATTGGAGGGTCTGGATACATCAACATGAGACATATCATGGAAGAACTGGCCTCTCGCGGACACGAGGTACACTAGCAATATACATGGAGAATATTTACATCAAACTCTCTAAGTAAGCTGACACCTTGAACTATATTTAAAGGACGCGAACCTCAGAAAAAACCTTATTTTCTGTTAAACAACACCTAACGAGAGTCTTGTGGCCTCGTGAGAGCTCGTGGATAAATTGCTGATCTTTCAACTAGCTAGCATATATGTCGAAATCAAATCACAAATGCCCTCGAAGTTTAACTTGATTAGGCAGAGACGCGCGCTTGGATGTGGAGGTTAAATTTTGCGAACTTTGTAATCAAAACGTGCTTTTAAATCATGAAACATTTTCCAAAACTTTTACGATTTTTGAAAATTTTGTTGTCGTGACTGACCCATCGCGAGGGCAACTCATTAAATATTCTGGAGATAAAAGTTGATTTTTGAATTTATTATTAAAAAGTGACGGATTTCACATTGTAAACTCGATATTGCCCAGTTCTTTTTTGCTAGTCAGCTTTTTCATCATAGATCTTTCACTGCACATAAATAATGAAACAGCCAGCCCAAATGATGCTTCTGCTAAAAATGATTAGTCATGGTGATTGAGGCCTATTGTGCTGGGGCGGTTACGCCATTCAGTGTAAAGGGAGGACTGCGGACTGCGGATTGCGGACTGTGGACTACGGATTGCTGACTGGGTGTAACACGACATCTACAGTATCAGTATTTCGGGCTTAAAGGGAAATTTAAAACGGGATAAAAGGATTGGAAGTGAATGTTAGTGACTAGGGGAAAATTTTAGTGGGACTGAGGAAAACTTTCGTCAAGCAGTTATCTACTGAGAGACATGTTCAGTTTGAACCTTTTTATAGCGATGTTTTTCGAAGATGCTGATGCCATTTTGCACATGCTGTTAGTATTAGCATTGGACATTTTGAGGTTGCACGGAAGACTTGGTGGGGGGGGGGGATGGCGAACAAGTTGTATTATGGGAGATGAGCAAATGATGAATACAAGTATTGTGTCAAGTCAGGAGTGGTCATGTGCGCTAATGCAAATGATAATCAGGCGGTATTCGGTGTTAGTCACCATAATGTACCGTGTGTATAATATAGGTATACGTACTATATAGTTTTTTGAGTTTAAAAACTGCGATCCAAAGAGTGTTTTTTAGCCAGCAATTTGGCGTTATTCGCGCCTTCCCTTCAATGGGAAGGCTGATTTAGCAACAGAACGGGAACGTCAGTTGATGACGGCGCGCGCAAATTAAACAACTGGCTTGACCAATAGCAGAGCGGCAAATTGGGCACCGGAAGTCGTGTTTAGTCCTTTGCGCGCGTTTCCCCGTCGTTAACTGACGTTCCCGTCCGGTTGGTAAATCAGCCCATTGTACCTAATCTCGTGCCCAAAGGACCTGCTTGGTCACGCGCTACTTATCGGAACTGTATTTTACTTGTTTTGTTTTGCTGTATTATCTGTATCCTAGGTCGCGCTCGTTGCTCCATCCTCCCGTAAACTGAAACCAACTGATAGATTGCCGCTCAAGAGCCACAAGATTTACCAAGTACCATACAAACCTGGCTTCGAAGAGGAGATGATTCGGCTCGATTTAGAGGGACGCACTTTTCAGTTCTTTCTGAAAATGAATGAAGTATTGTCTACGTTATGCGAAAGCGTCTTAAACAGCACGGAGATCTTCAAGGAACTAGAGGGTTTCGACTTGATTATTTATGACAGCATCAGCAATGGTGGTGTATTGATCGGAGAGAAGTTAGATATTCCAAGGGTGGAGATACTGCCCGCACCACCAAATGTCCCATTTGCGTTCGCCCATATGATTCCGATGCCGGTGTCGTACGTTCCCCAGCTTATTACCGGGTTTTCTGACGAGATGACATTTTTGGAAAGAGTACTCAATTTAGGAGCATATTTGGTCTTTAAACTCGCTTTTAGTCTCGTCAGCTACAGAAAAATGGACGCTTTAAAGGTTAAATACAACATTAAACCTGAAAGAAGCTTCCAGGAGGCTCTTGCGGATGCCGAAATGGTTATTATCGGAGCAGATTTTGCCGTGGAATATCCACAACCTCTTCTGCCAGGTATGAGAGCTTATGCAAAAAGCCTAAAGGAACTTCATCGTTAACCTAAGTCCAGGAGCCAGCGCCAAATGTTGTTCAAGTGCTCTTCTGGAAATTTTTTTCCCCCAAAATTAATGGGTACTAGAATGTCGCTTTCTGGGCGCGGCTTAAACTCGTTTTAACGCCTTAAAGAAATTTTTGAGGAACATAGTTTCCGCCAGTTTTTGGCTTAATTCCCTAAACAGGGAAA